TATATGTATGTGTATGTATAGAACTTACATTGTCCACTGCTCGCCGGGTTGTCCTTGGAATCTTCTGTGCGGCTCGATAACAAACTTAACACCTTTACTCTTACACCGATCTGCGAAAGCGTGGAAATCTGGCTCGTCAAGCACTACCCCAAAGTGAGGAACTGGTACTTCGTCAACATCTACATCTGAGAAGTATTCCTGCAAGCAGATGTATATTTGGATATTGATAAGTTATGTATATCCTCTTGCCAGCAATTCGCAGTGTATCGAATTCACGCCCACATAGAAGATTGTATCAATACCAAAAATGCGTATGAAGTCAATTTGCAGGATGGGATATATCGCAAAGTGTGCACCCGTGTCTAAAAACTTTCAATCTAGAACTAGGCCATACAGCGCTTCTGTGGTTATCGCCAACGTGATGACACACAATCTGGTGGCCAAAGAGGCTGAAGTCCACCCATTTTTCCCCGTGTGACCTGCAAGTAGTCAACATCGAAAGAAACGTACTAGTCAATATGAACCTATGTCACGCCATAATACTGGCTACTGCGGTACCGTGTACGATACAGCCACATCGCAAGTTTCCTCCGTATATATGAAAGTTAAGTTTCAAGCACGTCTATAATAGCGCAAGGTCGCGTTAATCTTTGTGCTTTATAATCTAAATGATCGAAAAGCGCGAACTCGCACATACCGGCCCTCTATGCAACCCAGAACATTGCCATAGAACTCTCTGGTGGCCGCTACTGAGTGTACGGGGAACGCGTGATGGAACGGAGCGATACTTTGTACCGCCTGTGCTGCTTTGAGGGACGACATGTTTATTTGAAAGAAGCTGATACGGTATAAAGACACTGTAATATAGAATATGTGCAACAAGAGACCTAAAGAACACAACAACGTATCTTTAACACCCCATCCCCGTTCCATGGGGACACGATTATAACGAAGCGATCCAATTTCACTAAATCCGGAATTAGGTTTAAACCCAACTTTTTATCGTGTGTGGCTTTAAGAAGTAAATTAAAAGGCGTCAGAAAAGGCGCCAAGTCCGTAGCATGCTTGGTTCGTACATAAGCACATAATTGGTCTTGTAGTGAAGGATAAAGGTGGACGTGTGAGCATCGATCGATTGAATGCATCAGTTGATGGCATCGATTGAATGCCCATTAGACCAAAATGACGCCATGTAAGTGCAAGGTAAAAACTTGCGATGACTGTACACTCTGTATGCGATGCGGTTGCAAGTGTAGAAGCAGAAAAACAGTGGCTAGTCGTAATTTAAAGAGAGGGCGGCCCGCAGGTTGGGTCCCAGCAACACATCATGCACATGAAACCAGAACTTCTATTAGAACAGCGGCAAAGAGGGCGAAGGTTGTAATTAATGCGCAGAGTGAACGAGAACAGCTCGCAGATATTGCAGATAACTCAACAGAAGCCGTGAGATGACTGATATTTGGAATGCCTTTGGTTGATCAAGAATTACGAAGCGGATTCTGCCTGCTAAACAAAAACTTGATACAGATGCAACGATAAAGGACACAAATTCGAAGGGCTGGAGTTGTATGTCTAAGAGCGTAGTAAGTGGGGCTGTGAGACTATCGGAAATTATATATCCTGCTAATCCCAATCTATCGTTACGCGAGGCAGCTACTAGTATCATTGGGACAGTTAGTATCACCAAATCAAGTTCCTCATCCATACACCAGTAACCAAACAAGAACATAATACTGTCGTTGATGTCTACAACGCGGCATCTAAAGGAAGTTTACAGTAGCGGATATCAAGGGCGATAATGATGTCAGGGTTGTCTGTGAAATCACGAAAAGAAATGAAAGCCCAAGGCCTGTTCACCTTGTCTGGTGCTCGTATAGAACAGTCATATTCAGATATGAAGTCCCTATCAGAAGGCAAACAGCTAGTATCACCTACGTATAGTAGATTTAGGTTTGACAGCAAAGCTTTAGACATTGCGATTGCTTTCGTATTGCCAGAAGATATTGTTGGTACGCTTTCATGGGGTAAAAAGATCGTTAAATTGTTTTCGGATGAAAGTGTAACCCTACCGTCAATAACTCGTAAGCTACCTAGTCAAATGATCTACGACCGATATATTGAAACATATTCAATTAGTGAGCGTATCTCGAGGAGAAGCTTTTATAGGGATAATATTATTTATTTCAAAAATGGCAAGTATGTATGATACAATGTATGAACATATGGTATGCTCTCATAGTCGCTGTAGTGGTTCAGGAAAGATTGATGGGAAGAAGTGGTCAGTAAAATCCCGTTTGAAGCTTGGGCCAAGTGAGTCGACAATGGAAGATATGCGCTGAGTCAATTCGGGCCGGTGTTGACAAAACACTGTTACTATCGAATGTTCCATATATTTGCTTGCTGACCTACTAAGTAGAGTACCCAACTCTGTGGTACGGATCCGTTCTGCGCCGTGTAGTGCCGCGGAATGGGTTAGTGCAGAGTACGAAATACCGAGAAGGACCAGGTTATCCGTCATAATCCGGTCGAGAAGCGAGCTTTTATAGTGTGCTCTCAAGCTTGACTAACAGAGATGAGAAATTGCTAACTGCCGTGGACTATGTGACTGGGACACTTGTTAACGACGTAGTAGTGTTACTGCAAACCATAATCGATGACTTCAGTGCTGATGCTAATGAGAAAAGTGAATTATCTATACTTTTGGAGTTGCTCAAAACATTTTTGAAGCAACAATGCGACAAGCATGTAGAGCGCGAGGACGATTGTAGTTCGCATGGAATTGAGCACGATTTAGAGCATCCGACAGACCAACACACAGACACTGCCAAAGAGAAATTCAACGGGTGCGACTTTATGGGGTTTCTGCATACGCAGATGTCTATTATGGTGCAATTTTGGCAAACAAAAACGACTCAAGTACGGGAGGATTGTTTATTCGTTTTGGGGGTGTGCTTTGAAAAGCTCGGCATATATAAAGGACATCGAGTAAAGGTCAAGAATTAACAGAAGTCTATCAACAAAATACTCAAGAAGATGGAGGAGAGGTGTGTTCTAAACAGATGTAGTTTCTCTACCATGGAACCTCTGCACGAGAAACATCACTAGAACACTTCGGCAAACATGGATTCAACTGGCACAGGATCATGACACAATACTTCGTATGGAAGGAATGGATGGAATGGGATGCAGATGAAAACGCAGTAGATAAATGTGGGGCTGTGAGACATATAGTTTATGGTGACCAAATACTGGAGTCAGGTGGTAAACAGAATGGGTATGCAGTAGCAGGTTTAATTGAGACCTATCTTAGACAACTCAAAAAAACACGTTCCGGACATTGAAACAGCAAAACTTTCTTCTGATAACACAGGTTATTATCAGTCGAAAGAATTGCTGTTACTACTTTCATTGTTGAACTTGACATTAGATATGCAAATTACAAAATTTATACACACGGAGACGCAATATAGAAAGGGGCTTATCGACGCACACTTCGCACGAGGCACTTCGCACTGTATGTCATTTATAAAAACATCTCAACGAAATGTATATAACTATGGACACCAAGAGTTTTGTAATTTCAAACATGTTTACCTCCGATATAAAATAATGTTGGTGTTGTAAGTACCGAGCTGTTCGGTAATGTTCCTGGGCGTTCATAAGAGTGCGAGAACTTCCAAGTGTGGGCGATAACTTATAAGTGTGAAAACTAATAAGTTTGAAAAGTTCTAAGTTGTATTGTGCCGTTTGTTGGCGAACGGCCGCGCAGGCTCGAAATAAGAGGGGGTTGGTGTATGATTGGTGCTTTGCGAACCGAAGTGCGGGGTAATATGAGCTGGAGGTTGGCAGATGACGATATATATTGAATGGACTTGTAGGCTCGAAATTGAGTAGATACACGATCTGATTGGCGGCAGGGTTCTCAAGGGAATACTTCGGAAATAGTATAAATACGTAGTTTAGTTCATTCAAGAAGTTCATTCTGCTAAGGTAGACGTTTATTCAACTATCAAGGAAATAAAACTAGGTTCACCGTTACATTGTATTTTGAGTCGATCAAGATTACAGTTTTTTTTCTTCTAACGATAGGATTTTATGAGTCTCTCGGATTCGCCCCAACGAAACATACCATAGTTTCTAATAGAGCGACAACGAAACACTAAATAAAATCCCTTCGGCGAAAACAGTACTGAGAGGATTATATATAGGCAATGTCTCAGCCTCACAATCCCTCAGAGTATTGCTGTTTTCACGAGGCATACCTAACTTTACCAAAAGATTCATTTCGTTTATTTACTTCGAATTTCACGATACTTAGACTTAACGTAAGCGTTTATTTACTCACAAGGCCCGCCTGGCGTCTTTGACGGGCTTTATGATGCACAAGGAAGAGACCCTGCCAGAAGCATCTGCCAGATTAGAAGTTTTTGTTATATCGTGCTTCGTTAATGTGGCTTTAATGATCACGTCAGACGAGGCGCTGGTATTTGAGTTCATGGTATCAGCCGTAGCACGCCACTAATGGACCTCCCCAGGAAAAAAAATTACCAATGGCCAAAACTACTACAGTTTTAGGAGATATTTCTACAAAGTGTAGCCCCAGCTCCAATTATCCAGATGAGACTGAGCACATCCTCAGTGGTATGCCCCCACAGTAGATAGAAGGAAGATAATTGACAGTATTAATAATGAATATGAGAAAACCGCACGCAAGACGTTTGATGTTGAGATCGAGACTCTACGTGTTAAACGCGAGCGTTATGAGCAGAAAGTACTTGCGCTACTAAAAACGAGAACGTTTTCCGTTAAAGATTTACAAAGTAGTCTGGATAGGTCCATCGCGGATTAGATAGAAGAGGTAGAGATATGTGATTTTGCACTATTGCAATTAATCAGATTTCCTCGCTTCTACGGAGTAAGAAAACGTGTGCGGTATTTTCAGATATGCATGTACCCGTGGGAGATCTAGAGAAGCCCTGTGCCGAGCATCTGCGGGCTTTATTATCAGGTCATGAAGAAGCTTTACACCTTTCTGTCGACGAAGTTGATTCGCTTTGCTTCAACCCTAATGGACCTCATCCCGAGCTCAATTTTGATATGGATCGCTTTGTCCATAGTATGAAGATGTTTTCTGAATCGTTTAAGCAACTTGCTTCAGTTCAGGTGTCCGGAGCAACAGGCAGGTCTGTACCCCCTGTTTCAGATGCAGATAAGTGTCCAAAAGCCAATGAGAGTTTGGGCTTGAAACAGAGTGCTGGGGGTAAAGTTACGAGCGACGACAATTTAATGCGTCCCTGCCACCCGACGCCATACCGTGCGCTAAAGAAGGAGTGCCAGACACGTCAGCGAGAAGACGATAACAAGTCTGAACTCGCTGCTGTGACTACTAAATCTACCGTAGCTAAAGTCGGTTTCCCGGGTATAGACGCTGACCAGGAAGACCAACGCCATTGGAGGCAAGATACTGCGGAACTTCAAAGACCACAAGGCGTCTTAATAGTGTATAACATACGTTAGATGACCAATGTCAATTCTGTACTGGAAAACTGGTGATAACAAATATTAAAATTGTACTGCGAGGTATCTCTGACCTTTGATATTTGAGCCTCAATAAATATTGATCGCTACTAACGGCATTATTACTTGAGAGAATTTTCAGTCTTGTTAACATGGGTATAAACCTATTTTGCTCGTAGAAAGGACTACGCATAAAAATAATTCTACAGATTGTATTTAATATCCCGAGTCCACGAGGGGGAACGGTTCAATGGGACATCCAGAGGGATGTACATCCTGAGGGGATTCCGAGTGACAACGAGAGAGATACACACGCGGAGTAATAGCGGAGCAATACATTATGATATCCGAGGGGAACCGAAGGTGTAGGAAGGCTACTGCCCACTCCCACAGGGAGAGCGTGTAGGAGGGTCCCGAGACCCTCCATCACTCAAGGGCTCTCTCTGCTCTGAACCCTCTCGAGAGCCTGTAGGAGGAGGTGTGTTCACGTTTACCTCCTCCACTACCCGAGGTAGACACCTCTCCGAGGCGGGGGGGGGGGGGGGGTGATATCATTTATGTAGGTTTACACCCCCGGAGCGGTAGCGACAGGGGTTAACAATTGAAGAGATTTCTATGTCCGGAACAGAGCGATAGAGTAAGAT